ATTTTACACTACAAAGTAGGTAAAAGTGTGTGACTTGTACTATTATGGTAACGGGTCAATATCGGTATCGGTCAGTATCGGTATCGGACATTTCTCAAAGTTGTAATATCGGTATCGTATCGGAAGTGAAAAAGTGATATCGGGACACCCCTAGTATTTGGTGTCTTGTCCTCAGTCTGTGTCTGATCATTGTGTTGTTTCCAGCCAGGGTGGTGTCCTCTTGTGTTCATGTTCTTCGTGCCTTTTTCTGAGAGTAATCCTTGTAAGTTGTTGCTGCCACTGCAGCCCTCCTTTGTTTATTAAACTTTATTTTACATTTTAGGTTTTGCCTGCGCCCTGAGTCATTCTGCCGACACACCTCACATCAGCATTCGACTGATCAAAGCGCTCTCATCAACAGCAATCAAAAACAAACTCAACTCTGATATTCAGGGTCATCCAATCACATCTGGAATCACTATTTTGTTAGTGCTCAAATATAGGATGTCTAAATAACTGCACAGAAAACCAGGTTCCGTTTTCAGTTGAAAATGTTTCATTATCTGTTCTAAAATCTCAATCTCATGCTCAGAGCCACAAAAAATAAGCTATAAGAATGTATCTACAATTYAGTTATCAGTTACAAAATACCCTTCAATAGGTTTAGACTGCTGGAGGCAAGGGCCTAGGAATGAGTTTACAATAGACCTTTTTCACAAARCCCGGAAGTGACTCCTGGTAGCGTCCTGTCACTTCCAGTTCTTGCTTCGGCTAWTGGAAAATGGTTGCAATTCTCAGAAAAGTTTGTTAAACTTGCCCACGATTACATTTGTGGATGTACAGGCAATGACGGAGGCRAAGTCACAAACCAACAAGGTCGAAAAGGGTTACAAATTCTTCCATGAAGWATTTATACACCATTATCAAGGTAAGAAAATAAGAAATGCTAAACTCGTTAGCATTAGCTAGCAACTAGCAAACATAGACAAACTAAGTTTGCGRATTGTRGTGTTTAAAATGGTTGGACATAGCTCAGAYGTGTCATTTATACTTTACAAATWTGTATATATTAGTATTTTAGGAYGCATTTGTTACAATCTATAAATAATAAAATGCAGTTATGTAACCCACCTGTAAGTAAAATGTCAATCTATCTTTTGCGTCTGTGACATTATATGTTGAGGGACAGATGATTGTAAGMGCTAGGTGCTTCAGGTCCATGAGGAAGAATAAGGAGGCTCATAGACTGCAGGTTTGGAAAGACAGACAGGAAGCCAGTTGGCTAATGTTTATAAGTTCATATTTATGTTTCACCGTTTCTTTTCTGCTTCTGTTGCAGCAAATTACCTACATATGATTTGTTATTTAATAAAGAGTTTGTCCAGTAACAACCAGTACAGTATACGCATGCACTCTTAACACTTTTAATTCATTAATAGATCTCTCTGGGAGTTGAGAAGTTGGAGTTGCTGGCCTTCTCGTGTAGTTGTGTGGCTGGTAAAGGGTTTTGCAACCATCTACTGGCCCTTCTTTACCAGACTACACACTACTCCCAGCTGCATTTACCTGCTGTTCCACCTGCTCTTGCTTGTACAAGCAGTTTACAAAGATGGCACAGACCACGGACACAGGTGAGTTTTTAAGACATTATCACAATTTCTAAAAAATAAGATATGGTCATCCTCTCTCATGGTAGACTGTTGTTTTTTAATCATTAGGGGATTCATCCAGAACCTGCCATTTAAGAAGTGGTCCGAAAGCCAAGAACYGTGGGGAAGGACGGTTTGAGGTCCACGCTCTACAGAGCTTATGCAGGTAAATATCACACAAAGTGTAACAAAAGCTGCTTAAAAAGACCATTGTTTATGAAATAACCAGTTGAGATATCAACAAATGATATATGAACTGATAGATATAACGTAGCTCACACGAACGAGTAGACAAAAATACTTATAAACAAACTGAATTAAAGCTGATTAAAAAGAATTTCTTCTCCAGTGCATTGATTCATTCTCCCCCCAGCCCAGAGTACTTTTGCCAACTGTTTTCTGTAAGCATAAAATTCCTTTTAAGTTCATTTGAAATGATAATAACAAATAAAATAATCAACTTTCAATTAAATTAGGATTACTCCCTTTACATTTCACCTTGTGGGGAAAGAGTCAAACTACACACCACCTGATCCTTTTGAAATAATTTAAAAGTATTTTGACACCTTTACTGTATAAATATGCAAATAACTGAGGAAAGTCAAAAAAAGTTTAATTGTTTCTTATATTTTATGTTTTTTTTACATGTAATAATTTATTTTTTGTGCTTTTAGGACCACTTTCTGATCCTGACATCATTGCTTGTGAGGAAAAACTATGCCAGCTGCAGCCTCAGCCTCTGATAGCTCTAGTTTTGGATGGACTTTCAAATATAGAGCTGACATCATCTAAGATCAAAATAAATAAATATTTAAATTAATTTAAATTGTGTTTTTTATTGTAAATAGATTTTACTTGTTTGCTTTGCAATTGAACAAAGTTTATCTGTTATCAAAAGTTCTTGTCAGAGATGCAGCCAGTGTACAAGGAAAACATAAAGGTAACCAAACCACAGGGAGCCACACCAAACAACTCTTTCAGAGTTGTACAGTTTTTATAATTGGAGGTCTCTGACTGACAGCAAGGTGAGGGATGACGCTCTCTCAGTGTGATCTCTGTACAGACCAGAATGACAAGTACATTTGGAGATAATTTTCTGAATCTGTGGGGCATGCCTTGTTTTGACTTTCTCTGCTAATCCACATATTGATTGATGAAAAAACAATAAAAATGTAATTTGCCCAGGTSATTGTAACTCTGCTGACTGTAGCAAAGCTCATATTAAACATGTCAGCAATGAGCTGCGCCTTCATGCCAACTGCAACCCTGAAAGAGTACCGGTACATTAAAAAAAAATCATCAGTGGCATGTTGCACGTGGGACTGGGACTAGGACAGGCTTCTTCATCAATCCTTTGTGCTTTGGTCCAGTACACCAGCCGGGATGCAGAAGGTTCAACAGACTCCCAAAAGATCCAGATCATGCTGTCGGATAGAAATTTAGTGTAAAACCGTATCTGATCATCTGAAGCACAGTAGCAAATGAAGAGAGTTGGTAACGTCACTTTCACCAGCTTGGTCTTGAGATCCTTTATGTAATCAAGGGCATCATCAAGTACACCTAGAGAGAAGAGCAATATATCTACTGTTGTTGTAGCTATAATCATGTAGTTTGCAAATTTCAATAAAATCAGTATTTGGCTAATGTAAATATTATACTAAGTTTAATTACGTTCCCTAAAATTTACATAAACCTATGAAACTGTTACATTTGAAGAGTAACTTACCCCAAAATTAACTTTTTTTAGCTGATAAACTGTCTAGAATGTGTCTAAAATGTTATATAGTACTGTTTCTGTGCTAATTTTGATGTTTTTGTGTGTATTTGTTCAAATCTGTAATATTTGGTCTAAAAACGTCTTTTTGCTGCACATATGGGTAGAACAGTGGTTCTGCAGGCTAATTTGCATATTGGTTAACGGCTCTCCTCTGTGACGTGTCTTCTCCACGATTTCGTCACAGCGGCTGTGTTCTGGTATAAAAGCCTCTCTCTAAGACACGCCCCTGCAGCAGTCAGAGGGTGGAACAGTTAGCAAGCTTAGCATGATACCCAACTAGGGCAGGCACCACAACCAGCGCAAGATTTAAAACAGGATCAGAAATTGATAACCATCAACAATATGAGTCAGTCTCCTGCATGTACATCAGATGAAGCACTCCTTGATGCATTGGTGGGATCAAAAACACAGCCAAGGTTTTAACTGATGGAGTTCAAAGTATCTGTCTTCTTGACTCAGGCTCTCAGGTGACAACTGTCTCAGAATAATTTCATAAGCTCTACTTGCATTCACAACCAATCCAACCTCTAGGAGACCTTTTAGATATTCAGGGTGTGGGTGGTCAGACAGTTCCCTACCTGGGTTACATAGAGGTAAAGCTTTTCTTTCCAGAAGAGATTGTTGGGAGACCTGAAGAAGTGCATACTTTAGCTTTGATTGTGCCAGATTGTCGATCAAACAGAAAAGTTCCAGTGCTGGTTGGAACAAATGTATTAGATGTGCTTCATGAGATTTATACAAACTCTAAAAAGACCAGTGTTCACAACCAGCAAGTGCAGTGTAAAAATGTGCCACTTATCAGGAAAATGTATGGCATGTACAAAGAAGAGCGAGTGAGTGGTAGAGTAGGAAAGATAAAGTTGTTAAAGAAAAAGAGTCAAAATGTACTTGCAGGACAAAAAGCTGTTTTAACAGGTTATGCCAGAAACATCAAAGTTTCTCCAGGCAGTTCCCTATTGGTTGAAAAGGCAGACTCCATCTTGCCTGGTGGATTAGTGTTCTGCAGCTATGTTATGACAGCCCCATCGACAACATCTTTCAAGATTCCCATTTTGGTAAAGAATGAAAGATCACATGACATCACCGTGCCTGCTACTCTGACTGTTGCTGAACTCTATAAGTCTCTCGCAGTTTCAGCTCCTCAGTCGACAGTGAGAAAAAACACAGAAACCAGATCTCAGTCTGATCTTGCTCAAAAGACTGCCTTATGTCAAAACATTAACTCACCTTTTACAACCAGCCAGCTCAGATTTGACTTCACAGATACATCTCTCCCTGAGGAATGGAGAGAGAGAGTAATAAAGACGTTAAGTTCAATGTCAGATGTGTTTGCTACACATGATTTAGACTATCGCCACACATCTGCAGTAAAACATAGGACACGCCTGTCTGATCCTACTCCCTTTAAACAAAGACCGAGGCCAATACACCCATCAGACTACGAGGCTGTCAGGTTACACCTAAAAGAACTGTGTGATGCCAACATAATCCGTGAGTCTGAAAGTCCCTTTGCATCTCCTATCGTGGTAGTGAAAAAGAAGAATGGTGCAATCCAGCTCTGTGTTGACTATTGCAAGTTAAACAATCAGACAATCAAAGACACCTATGCTTTGCCAAACATCAAGGAGGCCTTTTCGGCATTGACAGGGTCAAAATGGTTCTCTGTCATGGATTTAAAATCAGGATACTATCAGGTTGAAGTTGAAGAGGAGGACAAGTACAAGACGGCATTTGTAACTCCAATGGGCTTCTGGGAGTTTAATCGGATGCCGCGAGGCGTGACTAACGCTCCCAGCACATTGCTGGGTGTGATGGAGAAGTGCATGGGCAGCCTTAACCTTAAAGAAGTTCTAGTGTTTCTAGATGATCTAATAGTTTTTTCCAGCTCACTGGAGGAGCATGAAGAACGCCTCATGCATGACCAGGGGAAGCTTAAAGAGTATGGTCTTAAACTTTCTCCTGAAAAGTGTCAGTTCTTCAGAACATCAGTGAAGTACCTTGGGAATATGGTTTTTGAAAGATGTGTTGAGACAGATCCTGAGAAAACTTCAGCGTTGACAACTTGGCCAACACCTAAGAACATTAAAGAACTAAAGTCTTTTTTGGGGCTCGCAGGATACTATAGGAGGTTCATCCAGAACTTTGCCAGAATCGCAAGGCCCCTCAATGACCTTACCATGGGGTATTTTCCACCCAGGAAGGCTGCCAAACAGCAGTTCAAACACACTTCAGCAGATGACTTGAAAAGACCATTTGCTGAAAAATGGACATCAAAATGTGATGAGGCTTTTAATACTCTGATTGTGAAACTCACCACTGCACCAGTTTTAGGATTTGCCGACGCAACAAAGCCTTATATCCTTCATACTGATGCAAGTTTGCATGGGTTGGGGGGAGCACTTTATCAAGAGCAAGATGGCCAGCTGAGAGTTATCGCTTTTGCCAGTAGGGGTCTCTCAAAGTGTGAGAAACGTTATCCAACTCATAAACTTGAGTTCTTTGCTCTTAAATGGGCGGTAACTGACAAGTTCTTTGACTATCTTTATGGAGCTAGGTTTACAGTAGTAACAGATAACAACCCTTTAACCTATGTACTGACAACTGCTAAACTCAACGCAGCTGGACATCGGTGGCTAGCAGTCCTCTCCACATTTGACTTTCAGATCCAGTATAGAGCAAGAAAGAAAAATCAAGATGCTGATGGTCTCTCTAGACGTCTGCACTTTGAGAATGGATTTGATGATTCAACACATGAAGAAGACCACACCATAGAGTGATTCATAGCTCACATTTCCAATGAGATGGGTGATGCAGAAGTTTCGTCAGACGTTGTAAAAGCCATCTGTCAGAAACATCTTGCTGATCAAACAAACTCTAGACAATCTGAAACTTGTCTGGTTGAATGTCTTGCTGTTGATGTGCATGTTATCCCCCTTGAGTACACACATGTTGACCTTTTAACAAGTTCATGCACATTACCCCGTATGTCCCAACAAGACTGGGCTCTTGAGCAACATAGAGATCGAGCAATAAGCAGTCATTTCCATCTTAAAAGGTGGGAGGCGCTCAGTGGTGGACAGTAACAAAGTACTTTTACTTTATTACTGTAATTAAGTACATTTTTTGAGTATCTGTACTTTACTTGAGTAGTTATTTATTTGGGAACTTTTTACTTTTACTCCACTACATTTCAAAGACAAATATTGTACTTTTT